GCTTATGAGTATGGTCTCAAGTCGCGTCCATTTATTTATAAATATTTCAATGTGATCATTCTTTATAGCTGAGTAGTACTCCATTGTTAAATCTCTTTTGATCATTCATGGTTTGAGGTTCACATTGTCTGCAAACAGAACAGCTGCTTCTTTCTGGGTTTCTGTCACATGGAGTATTGTTTCCCACCTGTTGACTTTTCAGTCTATGAGGTTCCTTTTGAGTCAATATGTTTTTTGTGTACAGCGTATTGTTGGCTCCTGTTTCTTGATCCATTTGGCCAGGTTGTTTTTTTGATTGATGAATTGAGCCCGTTTTTGTTGTTGGTATAACTAATATGTATGAAATTGACTTTGTCTTGTTATTTTCTTTCTATTGTTTCCCTGATTTTCTTCTCTGTTTAATTGCTGTCCTGCCTGGTGGTTTCTTTCGGTTGTTCTTGGAGTTGTGGTCATTTTTATCTCTATCTAGAATGTTTTCCAGTATTTTTTCTAGGGTTGGTTTGGTGGTCATGGATTTCTTCAGTTGTTCTTTGTCATGAAAGTGTTGTATTTCTCCGTTAATTTTCAAAGATAGTGTTTCAGGTTTCATCAAGTGGGGTTGGAAGTCATTTTCTTTTAGGACTTGCAACACCTCACTCCAAGTTCTCCTTGACTTGATGGTTTGTGTTGAGAAGTCTGCTGTGGGCTTTCCTTAACAGACTGTTTCCTTTCTCTAACAGCTTTTAACAGTTTTTCTGGTGCTGAATTTTTGCAATCTTGATTATTATATGTCTGGGTGTAGGTTTATTTTGGCTATGGCAAACTGGAGTTTTATATGCCTCACTCATCTATATGTGATTCTGTTCTCATCTTTGGGAATCTTTTGCTATTACTTTAAAATTTTTTCTTTTGTTGTTGTTGTTGGCTGGGGGCCAAACTCACGACCTCGCACTCGTCAGTTAGGTGCTTGTGCTGCTGGACTAAATTCCCAGGTCTTTCTGCCATTATTTATGCAAATAGTGTTTTATGTCATTTGTGTTGACGTCTGCTTTTTTCATGATACTCGTCATCTTTACCGTTTTTGCATTGTCTCGGTTATGTTGAATTGTTATTTCACGGTCCCTTGTTATTTTTAAGAGATCTTTCCTTTTGTGATCGCTAGCTGTGATCCTTTCTTCAAAGTCTTAATGTCTGTCTTCAGTTTTGTTCAAGTGGTCTTGCCAGTTTTCAATGAAATTTTTAATTTCCTACATGTTGCTTTGATCTGTTTCATGTTTTCTTATTTCTTTCCTACATGGTCATTCACGGTTTCTATCATTTTCCTTTGCTCTCTCTTTCTCTCTCTCTCTCTCTCTCTCTCTCTCTCTCTCTCTCTCCCTCTCTCTCTGGTATTGGGGATCGAACTGAAGACCTTGCACTTGCCAGGCAGGTGCTTATGCCACTGATCTAAAATCGTCGGCCCTCTCTGTCTCTCTCTCTCTTTTAAACCATGTCTACTCCAGATGTGCTGAGCAACTTCTTTATTATGGTTGCCATTTCTTCTCTTACCTGAAATTATTTCTGAACTGGCATCCTCTATAGGCTTATGGATGTTTTTGGACTTGTTTCTTTGCTTCTGTTGCTAGCATTTCTAAAATTTCAGGTGTGTGTCTTCCATTTTCCTCCTCTTATGATGTCTCTTGGACTTATTCTGGGTTGGAGGTTTGAGATGCCATTTTGCGTCTGTGTCTTGTCATTTTCTCTTTCACAAATTTTAATTTTGTTTCGTGTGTTGATTCTTGTAAGTTTTTGTAGTATGTAGCTATATCACTAAGTCAAGTCTTCTCTAGGAAAAGTCTGTTCTTGAAGGATGTCTTCTGTGTGTAGGAAGTTCTTGGTTTGTGTCTGTCTCAAGAGCTTGTCTTCCCAACTAACTAAGAGTGAGATATTGATATGTTTGTCTTGGTCTCTAGTCCTTTACTGCTGAGCTGTGGGGAAGCTATTATCCCAGAGCATCCCAGTATTGTTACGGAAGGGTAAATGGCTGATCACAACTGCTGCGATATCCTTGTTAAAGTAGCATAATTAGCAATAACAATAGCATCAAGCCCACTTTAGAAACTAACAAATTTGTAGGTACTAATTTTGTGTCTTAAGCCATAGGAGCAAAATCTATTATATAACAGAACCAGCCATAAATTGGGAGATTGTATGCAAAGTGTTTCCTCTTGGTAGAGTGGTTTCATCCTGTGCTGGGTAAGTTTAAAAAGGATTGTGGATAAAAGGATGATAACTTAAAAGGAAGTAGAAGCAATTCTGGAAGACAAAGGACGATCATGCAAGCACTGGAAGAAGAGGGCAGCATGAAGGCGTAAGCAAGGAAGGGTCTGGATTTGGTCTCTGGGTTGGGGGGCTGGGATTAGTTTTCTATGGCTGGAGTTCTACCCAGCCATTTAGAAAAGAGAAAAAAGAAGAAGGAGGAGAAGGAGAAGGAGGAGGAGGGGGAAGAGGGGGAGGAGAGAGAGAGAGAGAGAGAGAGAGAGAGAGAGAGAGAGAGAGAGAAGGGGCGGCACCACCACAGATTCTATTCTCTGTTTTTCCCCAAGCACAGTGCTAGTTTCCCTGGCTTTCCTCCGGCTGGCTCTTCCTGTTCTGGCTCCTTTGGACTGTCCCCCACTGCTGGGCCTGCTTGCCCCTCCTGTGTGTCCTAGCGGGATCCACGGTGTTGCCGGGATTCCTGCTGGTTGCTTGGTCCTGTGCGTTTAAAGTGGAGGAGCCAGGCGCCTGGATTCTCTCTCCTGCCCATTCTTAGATGGAGATCATTTGACGTTTCTTTGTAATTATTTCTGGGTTATTTTTGCTTGTAGTTAGAGATGATGCCACTTCAACATTTTGAAATTGTTTAAAATGTTTAAATTTTGAAACCTAAATTTAATTAGTTTACATATATGTTCCTTAGTAGTCTAAATTTATGATACTTGTATAAAGTTGGTATTTATAAAGCTATTAGAATATTTTGGTTTTTTATTTATGTTTATCTTATAGGAGTGATATGATGTTAATTTTTCATATCTATAGTAATGTGTTTCTAAATCTTTATGATATATTTATGGTATATTTTATAATTGGGCATATATGTTTGTGATAGATAATATTTATTATGAGTTATGTCTTCTTATCAAAAGCCTCTATGACATTTAATGCTTTTTTCCCTGGATTTCTACTTTGATGCTTGTATTGTGATTTATGGGTTTTTCTTCTATTTTTCTTTTTTGCAGTGAATATTGACTTACTGTGTCTTTATTTCACTATCAACTTTTCTGAGTCACTTTGAATATGTATCTCACATTTTTAAGAATTAGGGGTTGAATCCTCACACTAAACTACATTCTGAGCCCCTTTTTACTTTTTGTTTTCCGACAGGGTCTCCCTGAGTCATCTCCATCTGTGAATCCTTCAGCTGCATTTCTTGTTGTCAATATGCATCTTCGTGGTATTTTTCTAGAGATTACATGGGTTGTGCTTTCTGAGAGCTTTCATATTTGATTATGTGCTTTATATTGGTATGAAAAGGACATTTTGCTGAGAGTTAGAACTCTTTTTTTGGCACCAAGGACCAAACTCATGACCTTGCACTTTGCCAGGCAGGTGTTGTGCTGCTGAGCTAAATCCCTGCCTAAAGATAGAACTCTTGAATCATAGCTATTCCCCTTAAAAATTAATGTGAGTCCATCTCCTTTGGCTTTTAATGGACTGCAGAGAAAACGTCCACTCCAGCTTGCTTGTAAGTGCATATGTGGGTATGTGTTCCCTCACAGATACTCTGGAGGTTGGAAAGTATCTACTTGACAGTTTAACACCTGGGATAGGATAGAACAGGAGTGTGTGTGTCAGCGAGGTCACATGTGGACCAGAAAGGAAAGAGGGATCTATAAATCTGTCACGGAGATTATGTTAAAATTGTTGTACCAGAGGTCAGATTTCTCACGTTTGTTTTTTCCGTTCACCCTAGCCTGTACTCCAGAGACACAGGATAGGGGTAACGTCCTTTGGGATCCTCTTTCCTGGGGGTTCCACTTGCCTAGAAGGGAGACGTGTCCTGGCATTTTGGGGGGCCGTACTTCTAATGTCCACGTGTATTTTAATATAACAGTAGCCAGATAGATAAAGGTTTAGACAAGAGAAGACTTTTGGAGCCCCAGTGTTGCTTGGTAGCCCTACTCCAATACACGCTACAGTTGTTCTACTAGAAAAGTGACCCTGTCTCTGTCTTTTTTATGGTCCCTCTTGCTCTTTTAAAGGTGACTTAGGGTCCTGCTTCCTCTCCTTTGTCAGGAAAGCACTTTCCAGCATCAGCACACCCCTGAAATCCTGGGCAAGGAGCGCGCTGAACAGGCCGCCAGCTTTCCTGGCGTCCGCACGGGCTTGCTTTGCTGCCCTAGCCGGAGAGGCTCTGAATCCGTCGTTCTAGCCCTCTGTTGCTTCTCCTTAGCTCTTGTGTTTTTCCCCATCAGGGATTGCTAATGAAATTTCTCAAGAGCTGCTTAACATCTCACAGTGCTGCACAAGAAGAGAAAACCCTTCCTTCCGGGGCGCAGGACTGAGTGGGCTCTCGTGAGAGTGTCTATCCTGCTTTACCTTTACTTACAGACAGCATCATCTGCTCACTTGCTGAGGTGTTGGCAGTATAATTTATTTTTAGTACTGAGACTTTGTTCTAATAGTTTATCTTTAGGATTTTATCTCTTTCTGGGAAAAGGATTTCAAATAGACTTTTCATTTCTTTGTAAAAGGCTAGAGAAAATAGGTATAAATTAAAACTTTTGCATTTTCTTTCATTCCTAAGAATCAGGAACACTCTGATTTCCATAAGACGTCTTTGCAAATTCGTTTTTTATATTGTTTTCAGCATAAGATTAAGCTCATCCAGCCTTTGATGGATTCAGATAAGTTTCCTCCGGACTCACCCCCAATCTGAAAATGCTCATTTGGTCAGCCATGTTGTCCTGAACCTGGTAACCACAGCAGCTCCGGAGGGATGGGGTGTGTGCCTGACAGAAGTGGCGGGAGTGCTTGCAGCCACCTGGAGCCATAAATCATGTGACTCAGTCAGTGTTCCTGAGGTGATCATGCTCTCTTAGAGACACAATTTATTTTGTAGATTATTCCTGGAAAAATGTCATCTCCCTGGCTTCTCTGTGCCTTCCAGGGTACTGCTGGATATCTATCTGCATCTATCTATCAGGCGTAAGTACCCTCAAAAAGCTAACAGGTTTCAAAAATAATTGGAAAGATAAATCTCCTGCAAATTATTATACAAAAGCAAACATGAAGAATCTTTGGGTTGTTATTGCTGCTGTGTATTTTTGTTACTATAGTTGATGAGTTGGCTCTAATATTGTTGAATACTTGTGCATTGATTTACAATTTCTTGTCCCTATTCTTTAAGTAATTCTCTGCTAAAATTATTTTATGTACTAGCAGCTACATTTCAGCAGTTTTCAACATGGCACCTTAGCTGTCTTCCTAAGTGTTATCTTTAAACTATTCCTACCAAGTGAGATTTAGATTTTGAATGTTATCTATTTATATCATCTTTTTAAAGCATTTTATGGTAAAATTATGCACTTGCATTTACCTTGTAAGGAATTAGAGTGGTATCCTTATTTAGAACATTTTCATTTCTTTCTGACATTTAGTAAGCTGTTAGAGAAAACTGATGTGTAGCTTGCTGTCTTCCAGTTACATCAGTTGTTTGAATCAGTGAGCTGAGTGTGAATACATTAAACTTATTTTTAGAATGTTCTTTCTTATAAATGCATCATGCACGTCATCGTCTTAGCCGCCTCACGAATGTGGGAAGTGAACTTGTCAGATATCACTCCCTTCCCAGGGTCAAGCTTAATTGAAACTTTGAGAAGGAGATAGGGAACCACTAAAGAAAACTCCAAGTGATTCAAGTAGTGATATTTATAAATCTCTGAGTCAGCCATGACTCAGCACGGAAGCACCAGCCCCAGGACACAGTTTGGTTAAAGCAACAGTGTAAAATTGGAGCTGAGACCCGTTGGGGCTCTTGTTTGACATGTTGGATATTGGCATTCGGAGCAGGCAAAAATTTGGAGGAAAGACCCTTTCAGTCTAGAATCATTTGTGTAACTCTTACAAACTCGAGCAGTAAACTGCCTTACTGATTCCCTCTCAATTAAAAAAATATTAAAGGCAGAAAAAAGACATCATTAGTTAATTTGAGATTAAAGTTTGAGGTCTTCTTAGATTTTTTTAAAAAATTAGCATTTTTAAAAACTTTATAATGTGTCACAACTGCCTACTATTGGTCTTACAATACCTGTTTTATAAATGATGGGCTGAGCTTGCACAAGTTAAAAGGCTTTAATACAACTGGCAGACAATTTTCAGTCAAGATTGCAATTCCAGTGTTTGCTATCAGACAGACCCAAGTTCTCTACCCTGTGGTGCTTCGCATGACTGAATGAAGTACAATAAATTGCTGATCTTAACTAGGCCACTTCAAATGAGCCAAAATTCCAAACCCAATTTTGGTTTAAAGTAAACTCTCTCAAATTTTAATTGCTAAGTGATAAGAGGTAACATTAGACATCATTTTAGATTTTTGGAGGATGACAATAAAACCTGTCTATCTTTATTTTGGTACTGGTAAAATTATATTTGGCAATTTGTTTTCCCTTTTGAATTTTGAAGACAGATTCAGGTCAAATTTGTCATACATGTGATGACTCCTAATATGTATATCTGAGAACCTTTCCTTCAGAATTACAGAGGATTACAATGAGTTTTCCCAGTGTGTATGTGAGGGGTAAAGATTTGGGGCTTATTCTAGCCTTTGGCACTGTGGGAACAGACTGCTATGGGGCCAGAAAGGGGTCAGAAAGCCTCAGGCAGAGCAGCACTTTGCAAGGCAGCCCGTCTGTCCGGTTCCCAGGGTGGGACTCTGCACAGTGCAGCCCCATGTGGCTTCACAGCAAATCTAGCTCCTTGCGTAATGAGACCATTTTGACTGCTGGCCAAGGAATGTTAAGAAAGAGAGACAGATGACTGCAGAAATCCTGCATTTCACCCTTTAATATGGCTAGCACTTAGAGCTGCAGAAAGGAAGCCTCACGCTGGAGTTCAAAGAGCAGGCGTCACGTGATCATCCACACTACTGCCTGAGAGCCAGAGAGCTGTCAACTTTTTATTTACTCCAGCAAGAATGTTAAAAGAAAGAAACCGCTACTATCTACTCTTATAAAAGTAACGCCTCTTTAAAGCTAAAAGGAGGAAGGTCGTTACATAAAGGCTGACGTTCACAGTCAAGGGCAGCCGTGTTCTCCTGTGACCCCAGCACTCTGCGAAGCTGAGACACGAGGATGACAAGTTCTGCCTGAGCAACTTAGCAGCTAATGAGCCTCTCTCTCTCTCTCTCTCTCTCTGTGTCTCTCACTGTCTCTCTCTGTCTCTCTTTCTCTCTCTCTGTCTCTCTCTCAGTCTGTCTCTGTCTGTCTGTCTGTCTCTCTGTGTCTGTCTGTCTCTCTATGTCTCTCTCTCTCTCTCTCTCTCTCTCTCTCTCTCTGTCTCTCCCCCTAATCTCTTTCAGAGATTGACCATGGGAACTTTGTACTGAGCTATCTCTCTATCCTTGTGAAAGAGAGAGGCAGGCAGACAGACAGACAGATGCAGAGACAGAGATAGAGACACACAGAGAGAGAATGAATAACCTTTAGTTGAAATAGATTTAATGTCTTTCCAGACTCACCCTGCTGCTCTTATCTCACTGTTTGCCTCTCCCTGTCAGGGGTCAGAGCTGCCTGCAGATGACTGCTGACCACTCCTGCAGGTGTAATGCTCTGAAGCTGAATAACGGTCCTAGGGTTTTGATTCATTCTCAGATCTTAGAGAAATCTTGGAAAATTTACCTTAAAAATGTAGCCCAGGACAGGGTTATAATCCATATTGAAAACATGCTGAAACTGAAGAAAGGCATGTTTGCCAAGTCCTGGAGCTGACTCTGGGGAGGGGCCCGAAGAGGGTACAGAGAGATAATCCAGCTCCTCTTCAGGGCTGCAGCGCTCCTTACCCCAGAAGATACAGTGTTGGGTAGGCGCATCGCAGGCCGAGAGTCGGAAGCCCGCTCCTCCAGAACCAGAAGCCTCTGTGTGGTCCACTTTGGAACAGCCATCCCTGGCATTGTGCAAGCAGTGTCTGAAAGCCAATAGTGAGGTCTCCAGGTGTTTCCCTGCCTGCCTGCCTCAGTGGGCCTGAGATCCTCTTGATGGACTCACCTGAGCTCACAGATGCCGTGCGTGTCGTGCGCCCAGGAGATCAGCAACTGTCAAGACCAGACCAGGCTGCAGTCTTTTAAACTAGAACTACACCTAACAGTGCTCTTCTCCAAAGACTCGTTGCACCTGAGAGTCTGTAGCCAAGAATAAACCTGGCCATCCACAGCGAACACAGGGATAAATAAAATACAAAAACTGTGAGTGACTATTTCATAGCTCACGATCCAATCAAGGCCCGTGTCTTGAGAAAAGATTTCTAGTAGGTTTTGCTTCGTGCATCAAGCTTTTGAAATATTTGGGACTGCAACTCTGTGAGTGTTAGACCTGCTTCATAACTAATGCCTTCGTGTTTTATCTCTTTCTTTGTCTTGCTTAATGCTCTTGGCCTCAAAAACTGCAAAGTCGGCTGATAAAGACAGTGGTGGCTGCTTTCCTCACCTGCCGCTTTCCCTGCTTGAAAACAAACGTTTTCCTGACGTGTTTATTTACTTCCCCCAACATTAAAAAGCACTTTAAGTGTGTTTTGAAAATAGGAGCGTCTGATTTTTAAGTCCAGTTGAAAGCCCTTGTGTTCAGACGAATCCAGTCCTTCCACCTGTCACGGAGTGTCTGGGCCTGTGACTTGGTTTCTTCCATCCTGTCTCATGCATGTCCTGTTGTTTTCACTGTTAGTCTTCTCTTAATGTTGGCCGCACTAATCCTCCCCTTTCCTTATTAAATGTAAGGATCTTACCCTCCTGCCTGGCTTTTCTGGGGTCACTCTCCCACCCTGTTCACACCTGGGGCACCACTTACTTCTCTGCCACTATGTAATGTGCGAAAAGGTGCCAGCCGTGGCCTCCACTACAGTGTTTTAGTCCTCACTGCCCTCATCCACTTTTATAATGTTTTTGCTTCTTTATACTAATTTATATAAAGCCTTAAGAAAGTTTTACTTCCTCCTCTATGTACTCCATCCTCTCCACAGTTTTGTGAGTTTCAGAAGCTTGTAGGTTTCCTCTGCATGATGTTCCTTCTTTGTGTATAAATATTTATTTTCTGATTTTCCATATATATAGGCACATGTACATGTGCACATGCCTGAGTATACGGTGTGTGGGGGAGAGACACAGAGAGACAGACAGAGAGACACACCCCCACCTAGGTGTTTTCTCCCACCTCTGTAATACTGGGTACTCTTCTGACTTGTGTTTTATTGTCTTAGAACCCTCTCCGAAGTGTTAATGAATATGCTTGCACACGCGCCTGTCTTTCACCCCCAGAGGTGAACTCGGCTCTCTCAGTGGGCGGGGCACTGAGGCTGGAGGCCTGAGTGTTTTACGTTCTTTGGTCATCTTCTGTCTCGTGCGTCAGTCTAATTTGTGTTGGTTCTAGTATGTAATGTAGTTATGTCTGGCAGCCTGAAAATATTTTTAGACTTGAATTTAAGAACTTTGCCAGGATATGTCAAAGTGTTTATTTTACTTTTTAAAATTTCCTCACTAAATCCTGTCTGAAATTCAAGGACTCAAGGAGCACTTTAAATTTGCAGAACTGAGTCTTTCTTCAAGCCAGGGAACGTTTCACCTTTTATTTCCTTAGTTAATGCATTTCTACATCTGTCTTTCCCTCCTGTGGAAGTCATATTATTGTTTCACTCTCAGCATCTGTCCTCCAAACTCCTAAAAACTGTGTTGTAATGTCAATTCCTTTGTATTTTTACTTTGTTTTGAAATCTTGTTTACTTGATCTTCCAGGCTTATATCCAGGCTCCAAAAGAGACTAACAGCCCTTCTAGTTCATTGTGGGACTATGAGAAGTTAAAATACACACACATACACACACACACACACACACACACATACACACACACACACACTCATGCACAGCAGTGACGAAATGCAACCAAATGGATTAGGAAGCTGGGGCAGAGAAAATTCATCTTCCAAGATCATACAACTAGTG